AGGGTGATCAAGGGCGCCGATCTCAGCAAAAGGCCGTGAAAACTGCTCCGTCGTTGCCCTCCCTCCACTCGGCATGCGTGCGGGCATGCAGCAAGAAGGAAGGGACGACTCACAAGATATGTACGGGTGTGGCTGTGGGTGTGGCTGTGACTGTGGGTGCGGGTGTGGGCGCGGGCTTGGGCTTGGGCTGGCTGTGCGGGCAGGTCTCCAACAAGCTCGCCAAGGTCTTCCACTCGGTGACGGTGCAGACGGCCATGGTGGACACGCTCGTCAAGCACTTTGGCGCCCATGCCGGGTATCTGGACGCATGGTACGCGTTTACTCAGGCCGGGAAAGACTTGGTCAACACAGAGGCCCGCGAGGCCGAGGAGGCCGAGACAGCGGCGGCGGCGGCGGCGGGGGGTGGCAATGACGCCCAGCCGGCAGCCGGCGGCAGCCCGGCGGCGATGGTTACCGAGTAGAAGAGGGGGCGCCAGCGATAGGGGGCAGGCGGACACGCCGCCGCTGAGGAGGCGTGCGCTGGCTGGCGATGGGTGCGATAAATGAGACAGAAGAGGGACAAGACGCTCGAGAGCTGCAGATTTACGTCGCCTGCTCACTCTGCGGAGCGAGCCCGCCTCACATGGAGTCGTCCATGTCGGCGATGGTCATGGGGGCTGTGCCAGGCGTCTCGAGACTCGAGGCCGCGGCGGGAGGAAGGTCGCCACCAGAGGTCATGGGCGTGGGGACGGTGCGCATGGTGGGATCGCTGCTGTCGTCGTCAAAGCCGCCGAGCTGGGCGATGAGCTCGGCGGCGTCCGGATGGTATGAGACAGCCTCGAGGGTGAGCATGTGGCGGACCGAGGCGTGGGTGAGGGCCGACTGCTCCCACGCAAAGTTGAAGGGCTCATCAGCAACAGGCTCGTCGGACGGATCGTGGATGTCGGCCATGTACGGGTGTGCGAGGGCCTCTTCGACGGTCAGGCGCTTGTCCGGATTGAACTCGAGGAGGCCCGAGAGCAGGTCGAGGGCGGCGGGAGTGGCCGAAGGGAAAAGGCGGGCAAAGTCTGCGCGGTCTTGGTGCGGAAGACCCTGCATGTACCTCCGGGCGCGGTCGCTCTTGATGCCGGCGAGGTCATCAGGCGCCGGCGTGCCGAGGACCGAGACAATGAGCTGGAGCTGGTGCAGAAAGTCGCGGCCCGGAAGGAGCGGGCGACGGAGGAGGAGCTCGGCAAAGATGCAGCCGATGGACCAGACGTCCATGGCCTTTGTGTACCGTGACCACGAGAGCATGACCTCGGGCGCACGATACCAGCGAGTTGCCACGTACTCGGTCATGAACCCGGCATGGTTCTCGTCGGGATCGGCGACGCGGGCGAGGCCAAAGTCACAGATCTTGAGGTCGCAGTTGGAATTGACCAGCAAGTTCGACGGCTTGAGGTCGCGGTGAATGACGTGGGCCGAGTGGATGTACTTGACACCGCGGAGGATCTGGTACAGAAAGTACTGCACGTACTCGTTGGTCAGCTGCTGGTCGCTCTGGATGACCTGGTGCAGATCGGTCTCCATCAGCTCGGTCACAATGTACAAGTCGCGAAAGTCGGCCAGCGAGCCGAGCGGCGGCATGACCTCGAACAGTGTGATGACGTTCTCGTGGCGCAGGTGCTTGAGCAGCCGGACCTCACGGAGGCAGCGCTTAGCGTCGGTCAGGTGGCGGAAGACCTGCCCGATGCGCTTGATGGCCACAGACGAGCCCGACCGGAGGTCCACAGCCTCGCAGACAACCCCAAACGCGCCCGAGCCCAGCGCACGAACAACCTTGTAGTTCGAGTTGACCACAAACGGCGTCTGCCCGATCTTGTACTTGACGCCCGTCGACGCTGCCGCGCTCCTGCCGGCCATGCTTCCGCCGGCCATGCCCTCCTCGGCCGCCTCAATAGTCTCCATGGGTGCAGCCATGGCTCTGGGTGGTGGTGTGTGTGTGGTGGTGTGTGTGTGGTGGTGTGTGTGTGGTGGTGTGGTGGTGGTGTGTGGTGGTGGTGTGTGGTGGTGTGTGGTGGTGTGTGGTGGTGACGTGGGGTGGCCTTGGTCTTGGTCTGAGTCCTGCGTGTTGTGAACCCCGAATCGGGTGGTCAGCCGCAAGTGGTCGGGGGATTTGGATGGTCGGGTGTGGTCGGGGGGGGAGGGATGGCTGATGGTGTTTTGTGGTGTAGGTTGTGGTGCAATACGGGCTCGGTTTCAAGGATACACATCCGTACGTGGAGAGGGAGAGCGAGGGCGAGGGCGAGGGCGAGGGCGGGGGGAGGGGGGGTGGTTGGCTACTGCGCATCCTCGATGTTGATAAAGACCTTGGGCTTGGAGAAGATCTTGATGGCCTCGTCGGCCTCTTGCAACTTGCTCTCGAGCAGGTGCTTCTTGCGCTTGAGGCCAAAGGTATCGCAGCGGAGAGGCATGGTGTTGAGCTGCTGGATGATGTCGGCACGATTGCCCTCGAGGAGCTGCAGCGTTTCCAGCCGCTCGGCTTCGGGCATGCGGACCATGCCCGGCGGGCAGTCCGGGTCGGGCTTGGCCGCCTCGGCCTCGATCTCTTGCTTGGCCGCCTCGATCTTGCGCTTGATGAGATACTCGGGTACCTTTCCAAAGTCTGGCCGGTTGCGCGGGTCGTCGCTCGCCCGCGACCCGCCGCTCCGCGATGATGCGCTCGCCGCCATTGTCGCCCGCGCGTTGTCGGCAAGGAAGTTCTTCTCGGTCCGCGGCGCGAGCTGCGCCAGCTCCCGCGGCACTGCAGGCTTGCGCTTGGCCCGCACC